AAAGCTACCTAAAGACACATAATCTCTACCGGGTTCTATTCTAAATATTTTTATTTTTTTGCAAATTTTAAAATGTTTTTCTTATGATCAATTTATTCTCAACAGCATATTATACATACAGTATAATAATAATAATAATACATATATATATATATTATATATATTATATATTATATACGTTTTCTGCCAGGGACAACGTGATAATAAATATTTATAATATTCATCACACTGTAGCATGGATTTGTGTATAAATCTGAATAAAATATTCCACGAAAAAAAAAATAAAACAATGTTTTAATTAAAACTATAGTTGGTACCAGCCTTTAGGGGTTTTAATCTCTATCACTGTGCCGGGAAACGGCATGGCCGAAGGTTTGTTTTTTTAGTTTAAAGTTTTACAAATTCCAGAAATTAAGTTTAATTTGTTTAAATAAATAAGCCCCCCAATCAGCTTTTACGAGAAAAGAGAACTGGTCGAAGAGATAATTGTATTACAAAAGAAAACTCTTCGTTTTTATTCCGTTAAAATTATAATAAAATTTCCAGATATACCAACCCTCCTTCTAGCGATTCTAGGGAAAGGATATACTACAGGCATGGGATAGGTATATATATTAAATGTATTGATCTTTGCATATTATAATAACATCATGCTATTAAATAATTTATAATAAAATAGTATTATTTATTATTTTTATAATTTATTATAAAAATATATATATAAAAAAAAAAAATGGAATGTATGGAATTCATAGTGGTTAAAATATCATTATAATGTTCCGTACAGACATCATATACATAGTAACTTATAAATAAATAATTTGATAACTTTTGTTTCATAATTAATCAGAATGAAGTTTAAAAAATAAAAAATAAAATATTATTAGGGTATTAACATTTGAAATTGACCAGCTGAGTCCAATATACGTAGGTTGTAATCTACGTTCTAACAATTATTTTTTCATCAGGACTTAGGAGACCAGCTTCGTGATTTAAACTTTATAGTATATTAAATTTTACAAGTAGACTTATTATTTTTTATGCTTGTATAATATAAAACAATAATAAAGAATTCAAATTGAATTTGAAACTTTAGTATATAAAAATAACTATATTTTTAATGAAAACGGTAGAAAAAATAGTATATAAGTATTAAGTACCAATAGAGACAACATATTTTGAATCTATCATAAAAATATAAAAGCATCATAAGTGCAGACAATATTTATTTATTATTTAATATTATAAATTAGTTTTCAGCAAAATATATGAAAATTAATGTCAGCAGATAACAATATGAAAATGAATGTAAATGCCATTTGTATTTTGTTGGCAGCATAATTTGTCAAATATACATACCTTTAGGTCATAACAGCCTAGTAATAAATGTTCTGTTTCCCACGAACATAAATATAAAACAATAGGCTATGTATTATTATTATTGGATTGGCCTACATTGTGGTATTGCAAAATACTTAACATAATAACAATGATAAAAAAAAAAAAAACACTTGGGCTACCGGAGATTTATAAAATAAATTATTTATGAATTTTGCTGATGGTTGTGTTTATAATAAATTTAGGCGTTATTTGCAATCCGAACGGAAGTTTACTTATTCTTAGGCATTAATTATTTACGAAAAACACAAAACCGATTCGTTTAGGTCAGTACGAAACAGCTCGATATACAGACGTCTGTCGTATTCCGTTTACAACATAAGGCACATATTATATGTTTCCTCTTGTTTTCTCACTCTTTCTCTTTCTCTCTCTCTCTCTCTCTCTCTCTCTCTCTCTCTCTCTTACACACACACTCACTTTTCTCTCATATTTTCTTTCATTGTAAAAATAAATGAAACAATTTAAATTGGTGATTGATTTTTTGTATGAAGAATGCATAATATATTATGAACTAGGAAAAACAAATAATTGTGATTAATATCAAAACAATTTTCAAATAATTATCACCACTGGTAATTAAATGAAAATCCAATAATTAAATAGGAATAGGCTTAGGTATAATGTTTTTGTTTATAGTATTTTTTTTTTTTTTATCTCGGTAAAGATGTTACAGAGACTCAAAAATTACATATTCATAACCGACTATGAATATTCATTCTTTCGTAAAGTTCGGGTAATGTCAATTTTCGCCAAATGATAATAAAAATTATAATAAAAACGGAGTAATGCTTTGTATAGTGATTCCACGCATTAAAAATATATAGGTATATATAATAATATGATAACAATAATAAAAATATAAGCGTTTTTGTCGTCTTCGAAGTGATTTCTGGAAAATATAGCTATACTTTTCCTACTCTGTATTCATCTTTTTTCTCGGCAGTTTCACCCCTTTTATTTTGTATGTTTTATCGGATTTAAAAATACCAGATCAAAGTTTTGTATGGAATTTTGGGATAAAAAATTGCTTTTTTTTGATGTATCAAATTTATAAATAAATTAGAATATAATATGCATAAAATCCATTATATATTATTTTTTTATATACGCTTTACAAATGATTAAAGTCAAGTAGGTATATTCATTAAGAGTTAAATACATTTTGTGATAAAAAAAAAAAGTGAAATCAAAAACACAAAGTTTATAACCACAACTTGTAGGTCAGGAGTAAATGTGTCGGGAAAGGGGATACTTTTCCCAAACTTTTGAGGATCCTTATAGTTTTTTCTACGCAATTCATTTTTTCTCGCCTTGTAGAGGTGTTTTCACAGCCTACAGCTTTTTAAATTTATTCAATTCAATTTAACGCTTAAAACTAAAATCACAATTATTTGTAAAACAATGAGAAATTAAATGACTAACTGCTCATTATTTTTTGTTAATTTTTATTCTATTTTTTTCCTAATATAACTAATATGTCGGGCAAATTTTCGTTTAATATATAAATATAGTTTTACACTTTTACAACAAGCTATTATGATTTAAAATTCACTAGGAAAGAGGATTTTTTACATTGAACACATTATTTCTCAGGTTGGTTTAAATTATCATCTAGTGAGCATATCTATATACCTACTAAATAATTCAACGTACCACGCCATACGGTATACACGACAAGTGTTTTCAATGAAAAGTTTAAACGTTTCACGAACACATTTCCGAACCATTTTAAGCAAAAAGCATAGTTACGATTTTTTTGAAAAACTGATTTTTATTATATGCTAATTTTTAATTGTTTTAGTATATACAGTGTATGATATATCATTTTTTCTTTGTACCTATACAAATATAAAATATTTTCAGAATGCAAGTATAGCAGTTGTGGCAGAGATGAAATAAAACAATATACTTATTTTAAATTATTAGAAAAAATTTTTGTTGGTATAGAAATTTTAATAACGTTAAAATAAATATTATTGAAATCGATTAGATAAACCCATCAACAAGTTATTCAGTTCGCAGAAGAAAAAACGCAACTTTTGAGAATAACAAAATACACGAGAAAAATACCGAACAATTTGACAATTAGTGTGGACTGTATTTTCCTCCTACCGACCGTAAAAAACACATTGCACGGATACTTTAAAAATAAAAATAGAAACTTTTAAAATCGGCTGCGAGTGCTTAAACCCGATGATCGTTAATGGATATTTATAACGTCAGAGACTTACTAGATGTATAGATGTATGTATAATAATATAGTTAGTAAATGATGACATTTTTATTTGTGTTATTGCAAGCTTAAAAAGCAAAAGTATCGAAAACAACAGTAAAAAAAAAAAAAAAAAAAAAAACCGTCAATGCAATAAATATTATAATGAGAAATTCGCATAATATCTGTGTAATACATATACCTAATATTTATAGATACCTATCTATTATATAATATTTTGTTCGAGAACCCGGGATACCAATAATAAAATAATAATTCAATGAATTTGTAATTTTATCGACACAATTTAGCCAATAATTGAAACGATAAAAAATTTAAATAAATACCGCTGATAAATTATAAATAATTACTGAATTTTATCTCGTAAAAATGTATTAGGTACTTTTATCGTCCGACATTTTTTTTTTGTAACTATTATTATTATTTGTTTTTATTTTGTGCATTAATTTTAAAATAAATATTTTCTATATTATTATTTATAGTGATAAAAGGAAGTAAACGCGGAAGAACACGCGCACGCATACAATTTAAATACGAAAAGAAGGCGGAGTGAAAAAATTAACATTGCGGGGTGGAATGGGGGCTCCGGGTGAAAGCTTCGAAAAGTTGTGTGAACGAAATTACGGCGTCGGGGGGAGGCGTTGGTGGTGGCGAGCGGTGACGTCACTGTATATACACGGAGGCGCATTCTGCCATTGTTATTGTTATATTAATAATAATAATAAATAGGGTTAACGGGCGGGCGGGCGTGCGGGCTGGCGGACGGGCGGGCGGTTCAGGCAATAAATTCAACTTGCCTCATTTAACTACGACTAGTGAGTGAGGGGGAGTGTGAGAGGCAGACGGGCGGCGTGAAAGGGAGGGAAGGAAGAAGAAGAGAGAGAGAAAGAGAGAGAGAGAGAGAGAGACAGATGAATGTATATATATATATTATATTATATGTATACATATTTTATTTATATATATATATATAAACAGTGAGAATGAGGGGAAGAGGAGAGTATGCTCTTCAATCAATAACTCCTTTTAAACGTGTTATTACATATTACACACACACACACACACACACACACTCGCACTGTGTGGTCCGTTATTTATACCATAAAATATAATATACATAATATATATATATATATATAAATATAAATATAAAATAAATGACTTAAAATAGACGTTGTCCCGGACGGGAGAGAAATGGGTAGAAGAAAAAAAAATAAAAAAAAAAAAACCTTCGGAATAAAATATTAATAAATAATAACAAATGGTAAAAATATAAATGTTATGAACGAGACCCTATCGTATAGTATTTATTTAGGAGGAGATGATGTCGAGAGGAATAAAATAAATCTGACGGAAAGCAACTCACTCTTTCCTCCTCGCGTATCATCTCGGCGATGCCTGGCTTTATCTCCATGTCGTCGGCCACGCTGCTCGGCGGCGGAATCGACGACGACGACGACGACGACGAAGAAGCGGAAGAGGCGGACGGCGGCATGGCTTGCGATGCCGGCGGCTGTTGTGACGACTGCTGCTGTTGTTGTTGTTGTTGTTGTTGTTGCTGTTGCTGCTGTTGGTGTTGTTGTTGCTGCTGATGTTGTTGTTGCTGTTGCTGTTGCTGTTGTTGTTGTTGTTGTTGTTGTTGTTGCTGCTGTTGCTGCTGCTGTTGCTGCTGCTGCTGCTGTTGGTGGTGCTGGTGCACGTGCGACAGCTGTGACTGCGCCTGCTGCTGCAGGTGATGGGGGGCTGGGGGTGGCGGCATGTGGTGCAAGTTGAGCGGCGTGTCCGCGGACGACGATCCCATGTCGGATACGACCGACTCCGGGCTGGCCGCCGGCGGCGACAGCCTGTGCCGCTTGCGGGCCGGCTGCTTGGGAGATTCGGGTGCTACGGCCGTGGGCGTCACCACGGTGGCCGCGGCTTGCGGTTCGCATCCGCCACCGCCGCCGGTGAGCTGCTCGTTGCTGACGTCGGCCAGACCACGGACTTTCAGCGTCTCGGCGACGCGCAACAGCGGGCCGATCTGCTCTTGGTAAACGTTTATCTCGCCCTTGTACATGAAGTCGACGACCGCCCTGAGCTCGGGCCACTGGACGTCTTTCAGTATGACGATCGGGTGCTTGCACTTGTTCTCGGCCAGCATGCTCTGGAAGTACGGGCTGCACGCGGACAAGACGATCTTGTGCGCTTTGAGCGTGTGACCGTCGCAGGCGATCGTCACGTCCACGAACGTGCCGTTCTGCAGCAGCTGGTCGAACACGTTGGTCAGGTTGCTCTGGTAGTTGTTCCAGCGCAAGCAGAACTGCTGGTTGCCGGAACCGCCCGTCGCGCCGCAAGTCTTCTCTGCCGCCGCCGACGGCACGTCTTTGGAGCCGTTGGTCGGTTGCATGGTGGCGGAGGCGGTTGGACGCTGCTGTCGCTGCTGCTGCTGCTGCCGCTGGCGCTTCTGCTAATCGCTCGGGCTGCGGTGTGTAAGACTATATGCCGTGTCGTGTCGGATAGACTGTCGAGAAAAAAAAAATAAAAATAATTTCGGCGCCAAATCGGTGTGATAACGACGAGCTCGCGGATAACACGTCGTCCGTTGCGGGTGCGAAACGAAAAAAAATATTCAAATAAACAGACGTTCGATCACCTCTGAGCACACGTTTTTTTATCGACGCGGGTACGGCTTGCGTAAGCGGTGCGCGCGCGTGACAGACGAGAGCACCGGTCGCGGCGGAACTGACTGTAGTCGCCGTCGGGTGCCGCGTTCGGCAGGCTGGTAGGCGGGCGGCTGGCCGTTTGGCGGCGGCGGTGGCGCGCGCTGACGAAAACGCCGGTCGCGGCGGGTGCTTGTGCCACGGCCGCAGTGTGACCAGAGGCCGCAGAACGGAATTACCGCGCCCGCCTTTTGCCGACTTCTCTGCACGCCGAACCACATAAAAATAAATTAAAAAAAAACACCGTCCGCGTTCCACGGCTCCGATATTAATATTTATTTTTATTTTCATTATTTTTTTTTTTTTTTTTTATCGTAACACGCCTTGCCTTGTTTATAAAATTACCCTCCACCGGGTTGGTTTTACGATAAAATCGTTAATTGTTACGAATCAAATAATAAACGTATATAAATAACTCGCTACTGCTGTTGCCATATTATATCATACACAAGGACAAAAAATGTATCACTATTTTATTTAAATGTTAAAAACGTTCTTTCCTTGTGCAGATATTGTTTGTATAACTGGAGGTATGGTTTTTGTTTTTTTTTTTTATTTTTTAAACGCGAATTTCGTATCGTACATGCCGTGTAAATATTTCATAACAAATAATTTTTTCAATAGAATATATCTATAACGCTTGTAACCTACGACATCATACACGATTAATTTTGTAATATCGATATGCACTGTATAGTATATGGGTATGCAGTATGCACCTTTCAGGTACCAAGAATTGTTTAGTTTATTTGCATTAAATAAATATATCTGTTTATTAAATATCAAAATTTTTTAAATATTCATCGATATAATATTGTATGCCGATACATCAAACATAATTTTATCATGAAAATTATTAAAAATTGCATTTTTCAACTTAATTGTTTTAATTAATAACAAAAATGTATGTTTTATACATGAAAAAATGTTCCCGTTGCATAATTGTTTTGTATTGTGCACGGGTAACGTATTCATGCATTATTGATTTATTATTTTAAATTAAAAATATTTAAATAAAAAAATGTTATAAATTTAAAAATGATTGATTTTTAAAATATTTTAAGAGTATAAAAGAATTCTGCGAACTTTGGAAAAATAGTGTTTTAATCGGATTTATTTGGAGTAAGCATTGCAATAATTGTAAAATGTTATTAATATATTATACTATAACTCTAAACGTATTCAAATTTAAAATCGTATTTTCTAATTTAAATTACAAATATTACATAAAATATACATTTTAAGATAATTAACTTTTGAAGAAAATCATTATAAATAATTTAAAGATCAAATATGTCAAAATTTCATTAAAATATATTTTATTGAGTAAACGAAAATATTTGTTTGGAGCTAATCAAAATTTTAATATTGAATAAAAAGTAAACTGTAGACATCATATTTTCACTATAAATTTTTACAAAAATACATAGGCAAGTATTACCTATAGGTATTATATAAAATATTTACTATCGTAATATTATGCTTGTATATTATAACATTAATCTATGATTTAAAAAAATTTAAAACTTTTTTTTAGTTTATACCTATATAATTATTTATTGGATAAAATTAATTTTTTGATTAAAATTTTCAACTTTTGTAAATTTTCTAATTTTTATTTATGTATAAATGTATACACAATTAACATACTATTACATATTATGTATATATATTCTATAATATACCTATATAAATATATTTATTTTAAATTTAAATACTTATATTACCTTTATTACTACATAATAAAGCATAAAAAATAATTGAATAAACAGTATAAGATAAGTTTTTTTTTTATATTGTTATTTATTTATTTTTTATACTGTACCTATTAAAAAATTTCAGTGTAGAGATTAGCAATGGGTGTGCATACTCAGCATGAATAAACTAACCCAAACAAAACAAAAAGTTATAATTATTAATGATGTTGTCATTTACTAAATTTGTTTAGTTTTATTTTTCTAAATACTTAATAAATTATTATTATAAGTATAAATATTCTAATTTAAAATAAATACGTTTTTGGATGAGGTAATTAATGTTTTTAACTTCTGGTATAGGTAGCTAGAAATTATGAATAATAATATATAACTATACAGCTTATAAATAAAATGTATTTGTAATTTTATTAAGTTATATAAATTACACATATATTTTTTTTTTTTTTATAGGTAGAGAAACAATTGAAAATAAAATCTTATTTTTCAATTTAGTTTACCAAATTTGAAAATATATTATAATAATAGTAATAAATATTAATATAATTTACCTATCTACAGTAAAAATAATAAATTAAATTTTCCAATAAAAGTTGGCACAATTTATATAACATAAGGGATTATTTTTTCATTGACCGTAAATAACTTTGTTTAATCATATTTTTATAAAACTTCTTAATATATTAAATTACATGTTTTTATTTATAAATGTACAATGGAGTATAAATTGGTCAAATGTAATTATTAAATATTTTGTTTATCCAGTCTGGTATCTTTGAGGAAGAGAATGAGTTTGTTTACGATACCAGGGACTATCTGGCGTCATAATATTGGTTTAATTTAAATTTTAAATAACGGTAAAAAATATTTTTTCATTTATTTTTATTAATTTAGTACATAACACAAAACATATTATCTTAAATTAATGTTTATAACATAATAATTATATTTAGGACTTAGGTAGTTAGAAATTATTAATAAAGACACAAATATTTATTGATTTTTAATTGAAAGTAAATTATAATTAACATTCCATATATTTTTAAAATCTAAATTTTAGAACTTGGTTATACCTACCTATAATGGCAGAATTATCGACTACAAATTTAAAATCAAAAATTGGTCGTATCGAAGTATTCAATGTAAACAGGTAAGTTTAGATTTTGTGCTAAATGTAAATTAATAAATATACCTTACATAAAATATTTGAATGAATTTCAAATTATTTATATGTTAAGAGATATATTTACTTTTATTATAATATATCAATTAAAATAGCGCCTATATCATAATATTATAATACACATATTATATTTACATACACCTATTCTACTACAGTATAAACTATAGGTATATTATAATTACACGTATTATTCTACCTAAATTACATTGACGTCCAATGGCCTTAGTGTTCAATAATTACTAGCTAATAATGTTTAGTAATATAATATAATCAATACTATATTCTCATTTACTCAATATTTAGTTGTCATGGTTTTATTATTTTAAATACTCTGTTTTCTAATATTATACAAATTAAAGCATAGGTACAATAGGTAAATTGTGTAAATATAAACCACATAGGTACATTTGACTAAATTATTTTATTTTGAGTTAACACATTTAATGTGCTATAGTTATTGTTACTTATAGTTAGGTGCCTACAATGAGTAAAATGTACTGCCTATAGTATATACGTGTATGTAAAATCTAACTTTCAGTATATGAAATAATTATGTACAGGTACTTGATACATATATAAATACTGAAGTGTTTTCAAACTTAGGTAAAAAAAAAAAAACTTATAACAATATTGAAGGATGTGTAAAAATGTGTCATCTTGAGGTATTATCATATTATACTTATTAAAATATTAAGATATTAACTATATTTTATAGGCTGTTATCGAAATTATTTAAATAAAGACAATTATTGAATTGGTAATGAATAATAATAATAAACTTAGTGATAATTAATTTAATTCCTATTTATTTAGACCTATTTATAGGCGTAAGCTGCATATTACGAGAAAACCAGTTTGGTGCTTACTGCTTACAAAACATTTTATTGAGAAAACACTTTTTGTAGTTGTGAATGCACTCTAAATATCGTTTCAAATAAAAAAATATTGCACTTCAAAGTTCTTAAATCTAAAAACATAAATATTTCAAAAAATGTTCAAAAAATTTTGGACATATTTGAAACTAATGATAGATCTATAATTTTTAAATTATTTTTATCGTAACTACATACTCGGACTTATAATTATTTTTTTAACACAACACTCATACGTTTTCCTAATATTTAAACTTAATTAAATTAAAAACATCTGTGTAGTAACTATGCAGGTGCGACAGTTTTTTATTTAGTAAGTAATGAGTGATGCGAGACGAGTAGGTCCTATATAATATACATTATATACAACTTGCTGACGGCTGTCGGTTGACTAGACGACAGTCATCGTCAAGTACAGCAAATTTGTCATTTAATAATTGACAAATATTATGGTCTTGCAAGCTAAAATATTACTAATCGTAAATAGTATTTGGCAATGGTGGATTTCCAAAATTTTTTTTAGAGGATCCTGAAAAATAATATGTATTTTTAATTTTAAAGTCAAAATTTATATTAAAAAATAAAATATATTAACTATGGTTTTCTTTATACATTGTATTAATTACAATTTAAATCTGTCATAGCATATATTTTATAAAATAAAATCGTTTCTTATTTATTTTTACAGAGTTAATGCAATTACGACTTTTTACAAAAATATTATACTTCAAAATTATTATTCAACATATTATTAAGAAGTTTAAAGGAGACACATAACTATTTGGTTCTCAAAAAATTATTGAATTCAGATATTATATAAATTAATTTAACATATCACATTACATTTTATTATTTTATAATTTAAAAAAAATGTATTAGGTAGGTACCTAATACACCTGTATAGTGTATAAGTATAAACTTTTATAAATTATTTCAATTAAGATAATGAAATTGTCACATTTACTAATAATAAACTGTATGTATTATTGTAATCATGTAATTATTTACATATTTTATTAATAATTAATGCACCTGGAACAATATAAGTAATTTATTATTTTTATACTTGTAATAATTTTTACCACAATCCATTTGATAATATGCATTGCTAAAATGGTATGAAATTATAAAATATAATAAAATAATATTTTATAATCAATAAAATTATCGAATGAAAGTCATTACATTGGCCTTTAATCTATATAAACTATGTATTTCGTCATCTACTATTCATAAAACAATAATTATAAATTAATATATAATGATACTATCAGAGGATATTAAAAGTTAATACTATATTGCTG